AAGTTAAGGTGTCACGGTAGGCCGTTGATCCAGCACACTAGAGATCGCGCATCGAGCAACTTCTCAGTTTGATTTTCTGGGTTTATGGTTGACAGGTCCAGATGAGTCCCAGACGTGGAAAAAGCAGGGATATTTTTGCATCATAGTGGATCAAATAGCGGGACCCCATTATGCAAAAGAACCATATATGTACACGTTGGATTGTGGGACATGTTCATGATGTCAGCCTCGAAACGAAGAGTTTGGCCCCGTGTTGTCATTCGTTATCAGTCCACGTAGCTGACGGCTCACAAGGATGGTGATAAATAGGTGCGTGTGCCTTAGTTGCTACATATCTTAATCGTTGTTTCTAAAATTTGCCTAATCTGAACTGACGGATATGGGGCTGGAACTTTTAAGAATGATATATTTTCAATCAGCCTTCCCAAAGGAAAGAATTAGCGCTATACCAATACCGCAAGCACATTTTTAAACATTCCTCAGACCCGTTTATGATATGGGTCATTAAAGATGGCCAGATCCACCATTCTCAAATGAATGAAACACATGGGCTTTAAATGATAGTTTTTTTCTATTCATCACTAACAGCGGACCTTTCCTGCTCATGTAGGCCTTTTGCTTGGGATAAATTCAAGCTGGTGACTATTCTTACCGGAATGCATTATATAACAATTCTTATTATTCACACAAGTGCTGAACTGTGAGCAAGGTAGCACAAGCCAGCTGGGATTCATCAAAGGAGGAGACTTCCCGTGGCGGTATAAAGGGTTGGTGAACGGTGAAAAGGAAACCAATACCTTCAATAATGCTCTGCGTATCTAATCATCAGGAGCGTCAATGCGACATTTAAAGTTAATTTTTGTGACAATAAGATTGTACTAACACATGAACAATCAACAATGAATTTATACGGGTTAAGAAGCGTTGCTTTACAAGTCCCGTTGGATAGTTGGTGAGGATATCAACAGAACAATAATGATGATGAGGATAGTAAAATAGTTAATACTTTAAATATGAAAATCAGAAGTTAAAGTTTGCTTCGCTGCAGTCCTGTGATCCTCTTAGATTCACAGCACCCACAGTTAACAACAAATAATTCCATGGTAAACTCCAGGTGTACGATGGAGATGTAATTTTAAGTGATAACGTGTAAGTGGAGGAGTGCACCGTTCAACCGTCTTTTAAATACTGTTAGTGTCGGTGCAGAGACGACTGATTCTGGGAGAGCATTCCACAGGTGACAGACAGGAATGGAAAAGAAATTTCTGCGGCACTCCAGACGACTGTATTGTTCTGCGAGTTTTAATGAGTGGCCCCTCAGGTTTGTATTGCTGCTGAGTTACAGTAAAGGGCGGCACACATGATTTGGTTCTCGCAAAATCAATTATGTCATAATAAGGTCGCCTCGTAGTCTGCGATAGCTTCCACTGAACAATCCCAGTCGCTGCAGCCTCTCCTGGTAGGAAAGAATGCGCATTCCAATTACGTTCTTAGCTGCCCGGCGTTGTGGCTGCTCCACATTCTGTTTCAACCATGGATGCCAGGCTTGAATTGCGTATTCGACATGGGGGCGAACATACGCACTGAGCATTTGTTGAAATATGGAGCTGTTTATTTGTCCAAACTACCGCGTCAACTGCCCCACGTGTTGGTTCCCGGTCTTCGAGGCCTTTTCGAATTGCCTGCAACAATCCAAGTCATCTTGAACCAGGATATTCAAGTCACGTTCGAGAGGGGATTGTTTTAGTGTATTCGTTCCGAGTCGGTATGAGTAGCTGCTCTGATGTCGGATGGAAAGCAATTTGCATTTGGAACAATGGAACAATGGTTTATGACGGGTATAAAAGCAATGCTTGACAGGTCCCGTAGGATGATGAGAATTAACATCGTAATATTAAAAAATCGTATCGATGAAAGTACGTGTGAAATGCATGACTCACCAAGGGATTGCAGATGCACATAAACAAGTAATCCAATAGGAATTTTAAGTGGATTCCGATGGTCGCACGTGGATTCCGATGGTCGCATTTACTGACGTTGAAATGCAATCAGTTTTGGGTCGACCATTGATACGCCATATCTAAATCAGTCTAAAGCACATGTTGGTCGGCGTTCGCCTGGATCCTTGCCCAGAACTTGATATCGTCGGCAAACATTAGGAAGTTTGAAGCGATTCCCTGTGCAAGGTCATTAATAAACACCAAAAACAAACGTGGACCTAGAACTGAGCCTTGCGTCACACCACACTCAACTTGTATGGGGTCCGATAAAGAGCTCCGAACTCTGACCACTAATTGGCGATGAAGTAGGAAGTTGGCGATCCAGCTTAAACGAGGGTCCCCGATCCCGTAATGCTACAGCTTGATTAGTAGTATCCGATAGTCTAGACAGTCGAAAGCCTTGGAAAAATCCAGATAGCCCATGTCAACACCTTCTCCAGCGTCAGCTGCCTCGGTCCAACTACTGCGTGCAATTAGCAAATTCGTTGTACATAACCGCTGTCGACGGAAACCGTGCTGTTCAGGAGTGATGAGGTTGCAGTTTTCCAGACAGCACACCAGTGAATTGGTAAATATAGATTCCATGACCTTAGAGATTATAGGAAGAAGGGATACTGGGCGGTAGTTGGAGGGATCAGTTCTGCTTCCAGATTTGTGAATCGGGGTTATTATTCCAAGCTTCCACATGGCGGGAATTTGGTTCTGGTTTAAGCAGCGCTGGAAAAACTGAGCTAAGGGTCCTGCCAGTTGGCTTGCTGCTGCTCCTATTGCCCCTGGACGGATGATGTGGATACCGGGCGAGCTGTGTTTGCATAGAGAAGTCAGGTTTTGCAATACATCCTCTGCGGTAAAAGTGATGTGGGTTAGTCCTGGCGAGCAGAAGACAAAGCTTGGTAGATCGCTTGATGGCAAGACTCTTTGAAACGTGAAGGCGTATGGCATCTGCAGCGTGTTTGCTGCTTCCCCAGCCGTTCTTGTTGGGCCATCCTCACCTTTCATAGGCTATTAACGTGTTTGTACAGCAGTTTGTGGTTAGCGCTGAAGGATTTTGCGAAGTTCTGCTGATAGGTGGCTTTAGCTTCTCTTAACAGTTAAATGCAGTGGTTACGTTGGGCTACGTAGTTGTCCCAAGTTTCATGCGTTATGCTGTGTATTGTTTAGGAAATAAATAATAATAGGCACATTTCACCGGAAGCTATCGTGGTAACAACAAAATGCCTTACCTGCAACAAATAATATAGCTTATTCCGCGTAAGTCCATTTTGGGGTAAATTTGGGCCTTCCGATTAGTTTGAATGGCAAATAATGTTGCGATTTTGTACTCACAGTTGCCGCCTAGCATAGCCATTCTATTACAACAGTTTTACAAACTTAAGCGCGTAGTTGTAAAGCAGAGATAATTAACTTTCTGATGTGCTGTACACATTGCACTCAAAGGAAGCAATCTCATGTGCTTATTATTAATTCATCTTCTCAGCAGAAGCAGCATTAGAAATGTGTCAAACCTATCCTCTTCACAGTCTGGTAAACAGATAAAGTTTTGTGTATCGATTTTTGAGTTAAGCGGAGTATGAAGTTTCACCATTAACACCAAAACGTTTAACTAACAGTTCAGTTCATCAGGCTTTTACTAGACATAGGAGGACCAATCACCAGTACTTTACTAGTGCAGATGCCTTAGGTAACATTCTACATCCGCGACAGAAAGTAGTTTAGATCAATGGCATGGGCTCCAAAGTAAGTTATAATTGTTTTAACTGTGCACCACTGGTTGTATTTGGAATGTGTTATAAAATATCCATGGCTGGCTATAGAATTGAAGGCTGGTTGCTCAGGTTGATCATATGGCTGTTGAACTGTTCGCTAAGCTTGGCAATTTTGTTGCAAACGTTTCATCACCAATCGCGGTGAAATCATCGTTGCGTAGTTGAGTGGCAGAGAGAGTGCTCCTCTACGCTACCGCACGCCACTCAACTACGGACTGATGATGTCACCTCGATTGGTGACGAAACCTTTACACCAAATTTCCCAAGCTCAGCGAACTGTTCGGCCGCCATATCCATGGCTATCCAGCAGTAGTTTAAAAATGTAATACTAGCTATTATCCATCTTTCACGTCAACGGTGAGTAGGTCGACAGTGATAAGAAAGCGCTTATTCAATTATGTATACCTTGGTGGACATAAGGGCTGTTTGGTCAAAACGAACCATAAAACAAGCGTATTGATAAACCCCTACTTACCAGATTTTGAGATTGTTTGACGGATATTTGCGCAGTGACAAATTACTTGGTCAATCGTTCATTCTATGCATTATGAAATAGTAATACCGCACTTTATTTTTCGCACGTTTGCATTTCTAACAAATATTTATGTAGAAATAGGCGAGATTACGGAAACTTGATAGAAAACAAGCTTTGGGACATGTTGTAGCATTCACATTTCTTAGCTAATTGCTTAGACTGAAAGCTACCTTTAATACTAAAATTAATAACTTTTTGTGTTGGATGGACTAGGATTATGCAATGGCTTATATGAATAGGGAGAGTTGCATTTATTATGCCAGCCAGGTCACGTCACCACTTGAGCTATTTTTGTCTTCTGACTCTTCTTTTGATCAAGCACTCAAGCCTGGGCTAGGTAAAGAATGAACTTAACACCGTGGTTTATTAGGTAGTTTATTTCTCCATGCCCCGGGGTCTACCTCAACCTATCCTGTTTCTTCCCATAAAAGATTTGATCTACACGTGTAGAACTCACTGAGGAGTGTGCTTCGTTTTCATACACTTAGAAGTATAGGTTTGCAGTTTCTTGATTACTTAGGGTAAGGTGGACTATTTTCTTGTAATAGAAACTCGTAGTCATTGGTACCACATATAAACAAATGCCAAAAATTTTAATGATGCTTTGTGTGACTGGAGCTTGGAAATGGTGGCTGTAACAACAAACCTTTCCTAACCCACGTTGCAAGGGGTATTTTGGTTCAAATCACTCTGACTCACGAGTAACTTATGTTAACTGCCCAGTCGGGTTCATTTGACCAGTGACCTTTGTTGTCGTCAAGTCCAACAAGCACAAGTCGATGGTTTATTGTTGATCCTCCAATCGTCGGAATTTGAAGCGTAGTTTCCAGGCGGAGAATGCCTTCATCATCATTGTCGTACTTCCCCAAAAGTAGACGGTCGAACCTTTTGACGAAGTTATGCATAAGTGATCCCAGATTATCCTGGACGTAAAACCTTTCATTTCCAGCTATACGAAAATACCCAAAGCTCATTGAATTCGGACTTTGCCACTGCGCAAACTGAAAAACAAATTAGTAGGAGCGGTCACTCAGTAGACCTGTGGTATACTGTCATGCAGTGCGAAATTACATGTGTAGATGAGGTTGACTCAATTTTTAGCATTGGTAAGGAAAAACAATTCGTACTAAGATTGATGTAATAAATCTCAGAATCACAGTTTTACTTATTTCTAAGCGCAACTGGCTTCTTTTATGGAACGTAGGAGACAAAGTATATTTTGGTACTATTGAGTGAGTTTGTGCAACGCATCCACGCATCAAAGTTGCTTATTCATTAACGCTTAAAAAACTTGCTATATGTGGGAATCCAGCATTCTACCCACATAACATGTCAGAGCATTGTTCAGTCAAAGTCTCGAGCACAGCGTTCAATCTAGCAAGTACGGTATGTAACAAAACCATCGGATACGTTGACATAAATTCACACTGGGTAAGGTATAAACTTTCGAGTGCTCGCGCTGTACAAATACCTTAAGAAGATGTGGTAGCTGCAGAGGTTATTATTAATATACAGCAATCTTAGAGAATGGCATTTGAGTTCTTATGGGACAGCAAAGCAAGTTGGCCATAGGTGTGCCAGCGTTCGACTAAAAGTGAAGGCTCATAATAAGTATAAAAGGATTTTCCACCTATACAACTGCCAAGGCATTGAAGCGTTGTGAGTCACTGCAATGCGTCGTCCAATACCACCGATGAAGATGCTGCTCTGATCCGTAAAGCTGATCGATACTATTTATATGCGTCGAAGCGCAATGGTTCGCTGCGTTATCGTCCTCGCCTGTACCACTGGCTTAGTAATAATGACCCTGAAATTTGTGCATACATCTGCTAAACTTCGTCTTCTCACTTTGGTTTTTAAACTTGTACCTGCTGAAATTTTCAAGTTCAAATAATGTAAAATTCAACTGGTTGATAGTCAAACCAAGCTTGAACACTGTGGTTAACTATGTAGTTGCAAAACGAAAATGGGCGCAATCGGAAATTTCAACTAGGTGAATAGTAACTAATCGCGGAAGCCGACTGAAATTTGGCGATGTGCTCCTTGCTTGCCGTGTCCTTTCTACTTTTTATGATACGGAAGTATTCTACAGTCTGCTTGTGACCATTATATATTGACTAGTATGAAAGTAGATAAAACTGGAAACTCGGGCGTGAACTAGTGGCGTATACAAATCCACTGTGTCCATAATAACGCGCACAATAAACTAATCATCCGCTAGGCAGCCTTAGGTTTGTCTTTATCCCAAACCCAACCATGAAACACCAGATTCCGCGTCAACTTCTCCTTATGTTATACGATGCATGGTTTATGCAGCAGAACAAATGCCAGGGGTATAATCAGTAAGTAAACTTGTGGCGGTAATTGGCGAAATTGCGAATCCAGCCCATCATTTCTTCGTTCCTGCTCACTGGTGACTAAGGTACCACTTAACTTACGAAATTGGTAACACATGCTTCACCGCGTAACACGGTTTTGTAATCCAAAATGAGGAAAAGTGCCTCATAATCAAAAATACTGTTTTTTCTCACCTGTTAATACAGTTATTATTAGGCGGTTAATAGATGCAGGAAAGGTAACGTTGCATAAAGGGAAAAACAAAGCCAATCTATCACACTGAAAAATGGCACACCTTAAAGGGAAATATATCGGTGGTAGAACTGGTAAGGATGGCGTCAGATGCACTTAATACACAAACGTAAATCATGAAACGTAAGCGCATAAATAGCAAGGAAACGGTCGGATTCAGTTTGATGCTGTACAAAACAAAATTTACTGCATGCGCAGTGAAACGTATTTCTATATGAAGCATGCTAGATGAGGGATTCTAACCACTTATCTTCCAGTGAGTTATAAGCACTTCTGATTTCGAAGTATGTAGAGTAAGAAAGAGAAATCAGTATAGAGTAAGCGTTGATCTGCTAGAACCCACTGAAGGAATCGGTCAGCAAGCTAAGCTAAAATGCAGCCGAAACTGTCAGTACCGTAGCTATATGGGTGTGTTTAGATCGGGGGAATAAAAGGCATTTATATTGTACGCTTAAATTCTGAGAAAACAGCAGAGGTATGGAAGATATTGCAGAAATAAATCTGATTCAAAATATCTAACGCTTCACTTAATTGTTTGTATATGTATCTATTAATACTCTGAAATTCTCCTTCTTACCAATCTATTTAAATGATTGCACACCAACAAATCTGTTTTTAACAAATTTTAAAATTTCGCACAATTTTCTATCATACCTCATCTACTTATACACCTTGATCTGACCAACCAGTTTGCCCGTTTGCTTTAGCTTCGTGAAATATTATATTTATTTATTTATTATTATCTGTGCAATAGCTTTGTCTGTAATAATTGCTCTTCTCTTGTACAAGCACTCTTGCTTCTAATAAACATACTGTTGCGACATTTTTTGCTGGTCAACATTAGCAGTTGATTTCAAAGACAAGGCAAGGCTACACAATTTCAACCGGGTTATCAGTTGAAAAGCAAAACATTTTTGAAAAACGAATTAAAATAGTAACTGTACATATCATTACTAATCTCTTTAGGTCAGTATCTACTGGTTTATAGTGATAAAACATAGTTGGTTACTTTGCAAATGAAGATATGCTTCAGGGAATTAGATTGTCCTTTGAAAGGAGTTGGCGTGTATATCAATGGAGGACGTGTCATTCTGAATAGCGATAAATAGTCACGTATAGCCGTCTATCACGGTTACTCATCGCTCACTGAATGTAATCATGGGTTAAACTGAAGCAAGATACAGTAAACACATTTCTTAAGAATTCCAGTAGGATGAAGTGATAGACCAGAACTTTCCGGACACGTAACTTTGAACACTCCTCTCAGAGGTGTGAATTTTACAGCCAACATGGTCCAAATAATCTTCGGATCAATATTTAAAGCAATTCAAACTTTCTACCTTTTTGTTAATGTGCAGTCGCGAAAAGACCCAGTGTAGAAGCAGATAAAACAGGATCCAAGTCAGCATTTCAGTTTTGTGCATCAAGTAAGAAAAGTTTGCAACGACACGTCAGACCGCTGTGTAATGCATTTAGTTTGAGATGCCTACAACTCGCATGTCAGCGTGCTTGATTAGCGTCGCTTAAGAGCTTGTAAGCCAGAGGAAACTCACCACACGGGCACCGATATCGTCTATTAAAATCCCCTAGCACTTGCAGTCACTGTTAGCAACTGCCACGAACCGATATTTCTAGGATCTAGAATTTTCAGTATCGTAAAACAATTGGAGGTCGCGTCCATCTTGAACTGAGTTGTGTGTGCCAGATGACGGTTTACCTTTGTAACAAAAATTTGCGGGTAGCTAGATAATTAGAAAAAGTAGACTTCTCAGCGTTATAAACTCTTGCGTTGAAATCTATTTTAAGGCCAGAACAAGTTTTCCGTTCACTTGAGACATTCCTTAATCACAATGACTAACTACCTTTAGCAAGATGACCTGCTTATAAGTCACCAACTCCCAATATTTAAATCCCGACTACCCAGCTGATACTAGGTAGTAAAGTAATTGGACCGTCCTACTTTCAGTAGAGAGTATTAGGAGCATTTCTTGTGTTTTCTTCGAGGTTTCATTACAGCTAGACTTAGTCAGAGCGTCCACATCCATCCAGAAAAGTACTACACGACCGTTTCTTCTTATTGGGACCCATCAGGGACGCGCATCTGTATGTAGGACCCGCCCCCACAAGCGCCTTCCTTCGAGCCAGCGACTTTATGTTAAGCATATTCTGGATTGATTTAGCTATAAAGTTTACCGGTATATTCCGAGAGATAACTGCTAGTAGCCAGTGTTTCGATGGCTCACCATACTTCCATCCGCTCGACTCATCCTAAACATTCCTAATTTATTAGGGTGTTAAATTGGCAATTCACTGTAAGTACCATATTTATATTAATACAGAACAGTGTGTCACACCAATTTAAATGTCCATAGGTTTTGATGCGGTGTAGTGTACGTTTACCTCGAGACACTTCAAAAAGCTGCTCAGGCCCGCAGAAGAGGATAATCAATTTCTTATTACAGAGTAAAAATATGGGAATTTGATTGTTTAAATAAGCGTGCTTTCGGGAAGTAGATAATGATAAATTGAAACCCGACATCATCGTAAACTGTTACACTTCGGTTGATGTGAAATTATTTTCATTACCATGACAGATAATAACGAGGTCGCCGAGATAACGATCGGCTTAGCCAATTTATTAGGAATATCGAGAAGTGCAAGTTGGCTCTGTAAATTATCCAATCATATAGGTTAGCATAGCTTCTTTCCCCTTAACAGTAGGTTAACTGGAATATACTGGTTGACCAGTAGTAAGGCATAATCAGCTCCAACAAAGCTACACAATTCATCCAACAGAGATCAGTCAGGAGTAATTTCAATCACATGGAACTGCTACGGATCAACGTAGTATTTTTGTTCGTTGTCTAAAGTACGCCATTGCTAAAAGGCTAGACACACAATGCAAAGCAATCTCCACGAGTATTATCCTGGTCCTGTGAGCAAACGTTTAAGGGGCATATTAAAAATCTCTCAAGCAACCGAGCGGACATGACCGATGGTAGTAACAAGTAATGTAACCGAAGGGAATGATGACGGATTAGGCAAACGGCAGGTACAATTCCTTTTCCCCATCAAAATATATTCACTCAACTTGACATGGATTCTCTCTTATCCTTCCTGTCAAATAAGCAATTCAACATAGGCTGCATATGTATCGGGTCTGGCGATTCATAATAATTGAACAAGTGTGATTAACCTTAACAACGTGTGATTAGATGATAGGACAAGCTTAGATAAATAAATAGATCTTTCTTTCTCATATAGCGTGAGACGTTTCCCGCATAGGGACAGATCAACTGGTACGCAGTTGTGTTTCACAGATGGGGTCATCAAACCAAAAGAATAGGAGTGAAACCAATCCATTGTGCTGGGTTGGCATGTACGCAGGTATTGTAAGTCTTATGTCATTGTG